AAGTTCACGAGTTTGCTGAATTTGTATTGAATTCAGAGAGATTTTAAGTGGTGCGGAAAAGTGACACCGGAACTATCAACCATTTTGTTGCAAAACTTAAATTATGGCAATCTCAAAACCGCTCATTAGGCGGTACCTCCACGGTGAGACTGAAGTTTTATTGAGCACTCCACTCTGTGAGTTTATGTTCAAATTTTACTTCGAAAACATTCACTAGACTTCAAGTATCAACTGATGAAACTAGAGCATTTGACGGTTGGATGTTTTCCAAATAAGCTCCGCCAAAAGATTAGCAACCGCCACCAGGAAAATATTGGAAAAAAGAGGATCCTGACGTATAGACCTCGGCCATCGAAAACTGCTGGAGTCTACGAAAGCCGCTAGGCGCAAACATCACGTGGAAAGCTCTTCTAGTCAACAGCGGTCGTGCGGCCAATAGATGATTCCTCTGAGCGGAATTCGACTCTCGCCAAATTTTTGGACCAGCAGCAAATAGATAAAATAACTGTCCTATAATCCATCCTAGACCGCTGCAGCTAAGTTTTCTTTCGAAGAGTGATTTCTTGCCGACACCGTCGGGCATTGCACCTTCAACTGTAAGAAACAGTTGAAAGTGATATTTGGTGATCACCGCTGCATAAACGTTGCAGATGGATCACTCCGTAGCTATGCGACGAAACGTATTGCCGACTCTTTGTCATGGACAATGAGTTGAAAGCGTTAGAAACGTCCAAACGGATAAGATGCCTGCACAAAATGAGCCTGGATGCGGATGAAGAATTGTTTTCATCAAAAGCAGGCCAATATTGTGTGCGTACGTTAAATTGGAGCTGCCGAAAGTGGCGAGGCTTATCTTTCCACATTAGCGGCGGGGCTTATCTGGAGGAGATCCCAAAAGTTAAACCCGAAAAATTCCCATAAATGACGATTTTACTCAAACGAAAAATGAGTTTTCAGTGGAATTGTCTTGGATTTTTAACTCTATATACGATAAACTCAGTATCCGTGCAAACATTTATTAAAAATGTTGTATGATCAATACTAACATGCCAAGAATGTTTTCACAATTGACCGTGGGGGCCGAAGTAAAATGACCTTTGAAAAACTGCACACATCACAAGCAAAGTTTATCTTGAGATTCTGCCATTCTCATCATTTGGCAGGATGGCCATTGTATCGACATCTCGCTTTGAATCCGTTTAATGCGCGTAGTACTTGCATTGTTCTCCACCACGTTGCATCTGGAGAAAGGACCAGCCGGTAGATCCTAAGTAGAGCCTGATCTGTACCAAAAACCATGCCGAAAAGCTTGCAGTCGGTGACTGTGGTTCCACGATAGCTTTTCATTTTGACCTAGGGAAACCGGCAAAATGAACAAACCGACCTTTTAGGCAGGTCGCAATTGCAGCGGTTCCGAGATATTCCCTGGATAAACGACGATATGACAACATAGACGATATGACTAGAGTAAACAGCGTGGAAGCGGAACACCTAACAGGAAAAAGACTCTTTTGGCTGATCAACTATTCCTGCAAAACGAAATTGACTTTAAAGTTTTGCCAAAAAATGTCGCGTTAAACTTTCATTGCGTTCTACCGCTCCATAAGTCTCCCATAAAAAATTCCTCTACTGCAATTCGACTCACAAATCTATTCAAAACCACTTGGCATTCGCGATCTGACATCCCCACCACTGTGTCCAGGGCCTAAGCAGTTCACACGCCTAACCTTCTCAAAGTCAAGAATGCAACACATCTGACATAGACCTTACCACTGCTAACAGCAACTGAAGAGTCAATGACATAAACATCAGAGTTCACCCTTTCCGTTAACAGCCAAACTAGACATTAGACGTGCAGCTTGTTCACGGAACGAAGAGACTATCATATTACCGGCATTTTTTTCCCGAATTCATACATTCATTTGTGAGATCACTTTGTTTTATTGTGGCCTGAGCAACTGGAACAAATCACAAAGAAAAGCTCGTTCCACGGTGCCCGAAATTTAAATAAAGCAGTCGAAAATCCAGAGTTGGGTTCAAACCGCAGACGTTTCAGTTTTGGGTTTTGACCGCTGAGCTAATCAGACATCAAAAATAGTAGTAATTATAATTACTCAGCTGTAGCCGGAGACCACTAACTCTGAATTCCATGGTTTACCTCTGCGACGATAGCACTTACAGTCCATTCGAGTATTGTTGCGATAGCTACAATCACAAATGTCTTGTGTCTGATCAGTTGTTCCAGCCTGCAAAAATGAGATCATCTATGTACATCCCATTCTCCAAAACGGATGTCCATGATCACCAACTATCCAACACAACTGAGGGCTCTGTTTTCTCCTTAATAATGTGCAAATAATTTCCGTAATAAAAACACCAGAATGAACAGACTATCACTGAAATCCGTAGCGTAGATTGCACACCCAGTATCTGCAACATAGCTGAGCGCGTGAAACGAAGTAAGTATTCTGTGTCATGGGATACATCCATGAGGTCTAAGATTCCACAGAAACTTAATTTGCATCACAAATCAGACGATAAGTTTAACCCGCTTCCAGTGGCAGAGGCAGTTTACTCTTTCTCTCCATATCAAACGATCACTGGTTTGTCTGGTAAGCCGGGCAATTTGATCACAAGCGAGTGATCACCACCCAAGTAGGGCACGCGTTTCATACACAAGCCAGGATTGATTGGTTGGTAAAATATGCACGTGCAGGTTCCGGCCGAGGTGTTGACTGTCTGAGAACATTTGATGGTTTCTACCACAAACTGACTGTTACTAACAACCGGCTTCTCACCTTAAAGCGATCTGTTTGCTTGTATATCAGCTTTGGCGTGCATATTCCAATGTGCCTGAGAACCTGATTAGCGGCGTATGTCGCCATCCGAGAAACCACACGTAGAACGTAGATGTCTCCCTCCCGAATTTCTCGACAGTCAAAACAATAAGTGGTGTGCATTTCATATTCACGCATTAGCCATTCGCTGTGATGAGCGACCTCCTGAACGGCATGCTCCAGGCGGTTGTTGGTCACATTCCCAAACCAACCCACGTTGTGCATGAATGGCCCACTTTCGAGTGATGTGAAGCCAGTGGGCAGTCAAATAAGGGACAAAACTGGGATCTGTTCGCCTCAAGATTTTCAAATCGCGGGGAAATTTACGCGATTAGTGTTTGGTGCACAGTCACTTACTCAGCTGCATTATCAAAGCGAGCCATGCGGTGGAATATTTGCCGACTGCGGTTGGAAGCCGTCTGAAAAAGTTACACCAAAGCAATGAAACATACGTGCTTCCGGATGGCTTGCCGTGCGTGAAAATAGCACAGCATTACGTCGCAGCCAAATACAGCTTTGGCAGCCCGCATCTGTGAAGTCATTTTGTCCATGAAGAACGTTTTGACTGCATGTTGTCCACCCATCATATCCTTGAACAAGCTGAACAGCTTGCGCAATGGCGCAAAATGCTCGCTTTTGACAAAGGCATACATTACGGGTCGACCGATCCCCATGCCATCTGTCACAAGAAATGTAAAAAGCTTGTAACTTAACAGCGAACGTCAGTGGCCCGAAATTTATTTACCCAAGACGGTTAGCACCGTGTGTAGCATCAACGTTTACAACGTCCGGGAAACGTCTAAAGAGTGCTATCTGCTGCGTTCGAGAAAAGCACAGGTGACTATATCTGCCACCCCTCGATTCCACCAGCAGCAAACGACCGCACTCTCGAACCTTGGCTATGATGGACGACATGTCATCTAAGAAACCNGGAGCCTGTGAAAAATAAACTTGCTGCGTGGATGGTTGTGCTCCAGGTAGTAGGAAGTAACCCTCAAGCAGTCATGGTATCGGCGAACGTGGAACCCTCCCGGGCAATCAGTACGACGTGTGCTACAACGTACACACAGTCAACCATTAACTTACTACGTGCGACGAATTCCACGGCTTCTGCTTCGTCTGCAGGGATGTCTGCTGCAACGGTAGAAATCTTTTTCATACAAAAGTAGCTAATTGATGCTCTTTTTGGAGTTTATACGGATGAAAACAACGAAATGTTTCGTCTGGTACTCTTTTAAAGTGACTTGAAATGCACTGAATGAGAAAAACTTTGACGAGCTAAATTCTCCACAAAACCATCCTCCGCATCCACGTGCACAGCCATAGCAGCCATTTAAAATATGAATATCGCGGGCCTTGAATATCGTGGGGATTGAGTGGATTTAAACAACTTTCAACAAAACTGCGGTCGTTTGGGAGGATCTCATACGCCCGGAAAATTACCATCAAATGTTAAAAAATTATGTTAAAATTTCCCTCCTTCGAACCACGGTTTCAGAGAAATTTTGAGTGTGCGTCTATTCCACGGCGCCTCGTATGGACTACTTTTGTGTTATGTTACTGATCACGTGACTCGAACCAGTCAGTCATTTCAGTTTGGCTTTTCAACAAAACTGCGGTCGTTTGGGAGGATCTCATACGCCCGGGAAATTACCATCAAATGTTAAAAAATTATGTTAAAATTTCCCTCCTTCGAACCACGGTTTCAGAGAAATTTTGAGTGTGCGTCTATTCCACGGCGCCTCGTATGGACTACTTTTGTGTTATGTTACTGATCACGTGACTCGAACCAGTCAGTCATTTGCTTCAGTTTGGCTTGTGCATGAAACAATTCTCCCAAGGTGATAGCATCGGTGCGTTTGTGGGGATCGGAGTGAAGTACCACAAACACTGGTGCACTACTGCTGTCTATTCCACTTTCTAACAACGTATGGAGGAAGTAGGTTGATGACGAAATATTTTCATTCAAATTGTTCATCTCTGGGGAAAAACCAAGGGCCTTCTTCGCTGATTGAGCTGCCAAAATTTCTTCCCATGTGCGAGTTTCAACCTTAGAATGAACTGCGTCCAGTTCTGATGGTGAAAGCACCATCGGAGCTGGTGAACGGAACTGACCGAAACCTGGCAAAACCTTGTCTCGGTTTACTAACACGTTGTTCACAATCAAAATACGCCGATCGACTGTACATTTGTGCCGAGCCGATTATGACCCGGAACTTCCAAATTCGACCCGATCCTTCTATCTGAAACAATTACGGAGTTCACACTCTTATCACTGGTGTTGTGCCCCTGAGGAGATAGACACTGATAAGCAACACAGCAAACAAAAATTTCAACAAATTCGCCTGTGGATATACTTACTTTTGGACAGATATCCTCGGATTCCGCAGTACTGACAAGCATGTCTGCGAGTGAACAACGTAAGTGATTTGAGGTTTTCCGGAATGGATATGGTCATGAATAAACCACACACTCTGATAGTTCTGTGGTATATATCTACATTCTCCTAATTTTTTCTAGGCTATCCTTTTTGATAACTTGTGGGGTTAGGGTTGTATGCACCATGGTATCGACGACAAACAAGTCCCAAGCAAGTTTTTAGTCAAATTGGAAACCACTTCACATGAATTCCCAACGGGTCGAGTGTGAACTTTAGTTCACGTCACCGATGTTTGAACGGTTATTCTCCTGTATTGGTGCATCCATTTTTGTGAGTCCACATCAAAGAGAAGAAACTTCCCACTTGAGTTTTGTTCTTATTGAGACATGTCAGCAGCACACATCCTTCGCCTTGTCGAGGTCTGACACTCCGGACGTCTGACGCTGAAGATCTTTTTCCAAGTTTCCAGCTGCATGCCGCCAGGAAGGTGCTCATTATCCGCAAAATGCTCTGAGCTGCAAAACCCTTATAAGTGGAGTGAAATATTCTACGCCACAATGTTGTATTTTGTTGCGTATGTGTTCAAATCAAAAACCGTTTTACTCTAAGTTCGTATTTTTGCAATTCGTGAAATTTCTTTATTCACCAAAGCAACCTTGTGGGATGATTTCCCTGCATGGCTGAGTCCCCGGGATGCCAAAATGGGACTTGAAAATTTGTACTGGTACTCTTGACCGAGTTATTCAATGACCTTAGTCCATCAGGAACACGCCGTAACTTTCAGAATTTCAGTTCCATTGTGCGAATACTGAGCGCCCCCGAAGGAGGCTGAAGGTCTGAGATACCGCCTGGTTGGCAAAGCATAGTCAGATGCGGTCATTTTCAAATCGCGAAGTTTCCAGTCATTGAGTTAACACCCTGACCAAATAACTCTGCCTCCCAAGCGTTCATAATTTGAACGCGCATTTGGATTCAAAACCCCCATAAAATCCATAAATGGGACGGTTTGTAGGACGCTAACAAGCATAACAAAATCAGACGCATTATAAATTTTCTATCCGCCTTTGTCCCCGTAAAATTGCAGCCTATAAGGCAAAACCAATAGAGAGGGGCGACAAGTTGCTAGCAAGCGAAGAGCGATCGATCGATAGAAGTCGACTGATTAGCATTAACCCTTGATCATGCAAAGACTATTATTTGCTATGTAATAAATGGTCAACTGACATTCTGAGTACCAGTGTTTCTCAGACATAACCGAAGTATGGCCAGTGTTACCTAGATTTCAGGGTTATTCGATCGGAACAGTGTTCGCTTTGGTTTGGTTGCCAGAATCGCAGTTAAATGCGACAAGTCGGCGGTTTGAACGATAGCCAAATTCAGGTGTCCTAGTTGTAATACACACATCAAAACCATGCAAAGTTGAGAGAGAGGCTAATTATACCAATAAACCAGTAAACATTTTGGAACCTTGAAAAATGTCATGAATATGCACATAGTGACGAACTGAAAATTGCGTGATGTGAATCCGAAAACAGTCTATCTACCTACTTCGAACTTGATGGAAACTGGTTTCAGAATGAGACATAAAATGTGGACTCTGTGACCACGAATGAATGCACAGAATAAAATTAATATATCTTCTTGTACTTGGGAAGATTTCCGAATAATATTAGAGACCAGGATGTACTGCCAAACACAAGAGAAGGTGCGCAGTTAGGACAAAAATGTGTACTAGGGGGTCAAAATCGTGAAATCACCGGGGCAAATATTGTCACATACGACCTACCGGTTTGGGTTTCTTGAGGTGTGCCCTCTGCAAAGCCTGTAATACGTTTGAAAAAAAACAATGAAACATGTGTCAAGTTGTTTGTACGTAGTTTGATGACAGTGCAGCAATGATGCCTTGCTTCTTGGTTACCTTGGCGATCGGATAGCACAACTCGAGTGCGCAAGCAAAATACGCTGACAACAGATTGTTGAAGGTTGGAACGGGCACAGAGTCTTGTGTTCCTTAAAAACGTGTGACCTTTCTGGCAGAATATGAGCATCCACCCATTAATTTGTGGTTAGGCTTTTGACTCAAAGAGTTTAGGTGAAAGTGTGAACACACTGATTGTAGCCATGCCCGCTTGGGACCACGAAATTTACAATTAAAAACACTGTTATGCCATACTGGCTGTCGGATAAGGCCAGACGTCCGTCTCTGTAAGTGCTGCATACAACAAAGTAACAGATATTCACTTCAATCATGACACTTTCGGTGAGTGGCTGCCATGGCACCTGGAGGAAAGCACAAGGGCTCTGATACTGGCGCGTCGCCCCTACCAAATCAAGAGCGATCCAGATCCTAGGGTTGGTTTTGATGCGCTGATATTCCAGTTAGTAATTTCTCACCTTGACCACTGAGCCAGTGGTTAGTGCTTTATGTGTTACAACTAAGCATAAGCTAAGTTTCTGTTTGTTCTCTACAACTTTGAGAAACCTTTCGGGTGCAAACACCCAGAAGGCAAATGAGGACCTAACAGTTGTGTGCCCCTTTTCGCCACCTTCGTAAACAAAACTAAGCGGTATCGAGTATATAAACTCAGTGCGGCTGGAATGCTCAAAGAACAATTTTACAAGGATCTTTGAAACTGGTTGTAGATCGCATGGCCGTTGATCAGTTGGGGAGCTTGGCAGGTTGCCTACAGGCTAGTTGATCATCAATCCTAACAAGAAGTAGGTTCTTAGGCACTGACAGAAGCAATAGTATTTGTAAGAGTGTAAAAAACTTCAGTTCAACCGATTTATACGCGACTGTATTACAAGCATCACAAAATACGATAGCAAAGTGCTAAACTGTTCCATACCTGTCGAGATTCGGCAGGCGTTATGGTCCCCGTGTAGTAGCTGAGCGACTTTTAGCAACAGTTCCTCTCCTTCTAGACCTTTGATCGTTGGGGGCAGTCTGCTCTCATCCATTTGAACGTTGAATCGGACCAGGTCATCGCTAACCTCTGCGAGTTTGCATCGCGAAAATATGTCATCTGTCCAACCGGGTGCAGCAGTTTTCAGCTGATACAAGAAGACACATCAAAGATTAGCAATCGGAACAAACTGGGGTTTTCCCGGGGGCAAACCAAGGATGATGAAAGAGTGAATTTTAAAAATTCTGCCACAAAAATACTAACCAATCCACACAAACCCTCTTCGGTTTTCTCTTCAGGTTCGTATATAAGGACTTGAGCAACGTATAGCACTGCAATTTTAAAAAAAATGTAAAATTCACAAAGTCACGTTTTATTTACAGTCGAAACTGTTCATTCTGTGAAGGTTTTTTTTTAAATGCACTCACTTGTGATCTTCCCTTCCCCGATTCGTGCGAGAGCAATCAGTAAGCATATACATGCCCCCCACATTTTGCGATACTTAATTTAACTCAAGTTCACTTCTCGAACCATCTCCATTTATCGGATCAGTTTGTCTAATTTAATTGGTTCCCATTTCAAAGTTTTGGATTGGAAATCTCTTTTGGAAGTCATAGACCAATCGGCCACCGGAGGTATCAACCAATGTCTGGGCCTCGGAACAACAACAACAGTGTCATATTCTAGATTAGTGTGACTCAGCGTGTCTGGCCAAATATGTAGTAAAGAAAAGTGTAGAATTTAAGAGTTGTTGATTCAAGAAATCGTCTGGAAAATAACGGAAATGGTCAATCAGCCTCCACAAATGTCGATTGTTCCATTTTATGCTTGCATTCGCAACGGACTAATTACAAATCAACATATCCATCGATTCATGTTACATCACAGGTAAATCCTTACAAAACGTACAAAGTGCTGTTGGCTAAATTGTTCACTTACATCCTAGAATTCCAACGGATGGCGACAGTGCAACCATTCCAGCAACTATTCAACCAGCTCGGCCAAACGCGCATAAGCTACCGTAGTGAGTTTAGCCAAAATATATCGATATACAAAGTTACACGGGTTGAGAAAGTGACCCGAGGAAATGTAACGTGTCACTCTAAAACCGCTGGCTCGAAAAATACTTTTGGGTGGAACACCAATACTTGAAGATTTGTCCCGGAATTCTCCATCGTGACCAATCGGTATGGGGAAGATTCAGATTTTTCTTTCCCAGAAGTGAGGCTGAGAAAATATTTGGGGGGATTTGTCAGTTGCTCGGCTTCTGGTGAAGACGAGAAAACATAAATTAAATTGCTTGAGACTGCGGTGACCTCAGAGACGATTCTCGGGGAAAAAAAGTATTCAAATCAGTTGGGGGGCTAGGAAAACGAAAAAAATTACGACGTCGTAGAATTATCAAAAACAATTAATATGAGTAATAATTTCGGGAAAAACAATTTGAATCAAGCAGTAACAAAAATTTTAAAAGAAAATTGTGGTGTAGGTTGACTGGAAAGTAGACTGAAAACAACGTCGAGAATACTTTGTTGGATGACTGAGATTCAAGAATAACATGCTCTTCTTGCATCCTCAGAGTTGTTTTTGGTACTACAAATTATCTTTTTTACATAAGAGAGAGTTCTCCACAAGGAACAACGGTAGCAGAATTAGGGATTCCCATTGCAGTTGGAGATCAATCTGTGCTGAAGATCGAAAAATTAGCTGTCAGATGTTCAGTCCCAATTGGGAATCACCAGCGGTGTGTTCACCACAAAATTCCTTTGAGGAAGTTTCAACTACCGGTCATTTACTTAGACAATGGGCGGTTTGATCAAGAGCAGTCATTCCCAGTTTTTACTCCTGTCTTTCAGTTAACAGGAAAGTCTTGACATATTTTCAAACACGCTTTCAATTTCGGTCGTATGCACATTCCCGAAGAGCAGTAGTCAAGAGTCGAAGTTGCCACATTCACGTAAAATTTCCCTTCCTCTTGAATGCGAAGGACAATTATGCATCTTTCCGACAGTTCTAATACCTGAATCCAAGTTTAGAAGTTGCAGGAGGTTTCCAAGAAATACACGCATTTGCAAATCAATTTGGATTCCACGAGAGACTATACTGAATCTCCTGTTTATGATAATCTACAACTGAATGTGCTGCACACATGCCGCCTCATGTTTCAGTTGGCACGATATTCCAGATATCGCAGTATGTTTTCATAAAAGCAGGCTATTCACAAGTTCGCTGAAAATTAGTCGACAGCCCACGACCGGTACCGCCCTTCATGGGGCTCATCAGGTAGGCGCAGTCCCCGAGTTTTCGTCAACCTTATGTCCCAAATTAGACTGATTTCGACAGATACACTCATTTGCAAATCAATTCGGTTTGCAAACTGGATAGACGTAAAGAGATCTCAGAAACCTTCCAGTCTAAACGATACTCGAAACTGAATCATCCGTAGGAAAGTTGTTCGTCAAACGTTCCGTTGATGGGACAGGTGCGATGAGTTTAAATCTATGAAACAAACAAATCCACTGTAATACTATCTTCCAGATCACGCATTCACCAATCATTCCAAAATGCGATAACTCTGGCGTTTTTTTGTATGCTGAGGTCATTTCTAATCCTTCCTTTAAATTCGCTTTCCCAAGTAACTCAAGATAATCAATGGAGCCAGTCGGCACGTGATCACGCGATGTAGTTTCGTGACTGAAGAGTGAGTAGCGTTCAAGTGACAGTGAACCGCACTGCTGTTCAGTCCGAATGGTGAAGTAAACGAAAATTGGACGGAGGTTCGCGCTTTGGATCACCCTAATACAGTTTCGTGAGCAAGACCTAGCGGATGTATCCCAAAAAGATGACACAACCGTGCAGAACTTCTCGGCTATCCAACGTAGATTGTTGAACATCCTCACACTATCCGCGCACAGCCAGGGAATGAGTGAAATACACAACTGTACAACTGTACTGACAATGTAAAGGGACAGCCCACACAGAATTGGGTCACACATGCGTTTTTCTCGTCCATAGGACTACTTCGAAATCTAACATGGGAAAACACTTTTTACCACTCATTTTATAAGTTAGCTCTAGACCATGTGAAGCATATTTTTGGTCAACTGTGTTGGAATTTTCAACGCATGGCACATGATGCACTCAGTAGTATCAGAGCACACGTTTGAACAAACGCATTTAAGCAAAAAATAAATGGAACGTCTCAAAAACCATCTTCTTTTCGCCATTTTGAAATTTAACATTGAAGTATTTTGTGCAAATAAAAAATGCATCGGTAAAAAAATGGGTACTTTGTGCTCCGACAGATGCCAGAAAAGTCATGCATATTTCTGTTGGTTAGGTCTCCAATGATGCTTCATACGTGAAAATCACCCATTTGGAACAATTGCCGGCGTCCTACTCTTGTATATTTAGTTGTAATTATTATACCTTCTCGACAACTCACAGTCTGTTCTGTGGGTACGGCATGTGGCGTTCATTAAAATTACAATACTGGGAAGACCAAATTATTGATCGACGCTCCGCGGTTCAGATGTATGTCACCTGACTAAACTTTGTGACGTCTTTGAGGACGTTCAAATTGAGCTCATTAGTGCTATTGTCTTTTATTTGAAGCAATATCAGGAGGTAAATAACACTAACAACAAACAGTTATGTATAGTGGGCGCAGTTGAATTGAATGCGGGTCTTGACCGAGCGTGTTGAAATCCGGCCTGTTTCTTGTCGTTTAATCCAAAACGATATCGAGTCCAGATTTTTCCTGCACAGTGCGTAGGTTTGAACTGACTCTGGTCAAGGCGCTGTGTGAAGTGACGGTCCCCTGCTGTCGTTGTTCCGCATATTTGTAAGTTGACGTTGTGAGTGAGGATGCGCTTGCATTGTTTGTCTTAGGATAAGATTCCAAACTCCTCGGTTAGTCGTGGGTCGAGTGTTCATGACATAATCAAAACAGGAGTGAAACAGTGGGTGTGCATGTGTCTTCAAACAAATTGTGTGAGTGGCTGAAGGTTGAAGGAGTGATGAGGCAGTAGCCGAACTGTGCAAGCGGTTGAAGATAAAGGTTGACGAGATAGATGGTGACCAACATGCTCACTGTTGCAGTGATACATAACCAGTCACCCTTTCGGTAGATGTTTTCCTCAACTAAAACTCTCCACCGCAGTATGAAACGAAGCTGGGTGTGCATATTCACACGCTTGGAAAAGAGAAACTATCTGGCCTCGTTCCATTCTGATTCTCTGCAATCAAGACTGATTGGTATTCACACCGTACCACAGAAAACCTCGAAAAGTTGACTAACTAGTTTCTAGCCAAATTGATGCCTTTCACAGGTAGACGGTGCCTCTTCTTCCACTGTCTAGTGTTTGTACTCTGTCGGTTGGGAAACACCTCGATGCCGCATGTGTATTCGAACACGAACGGCATTCTGACCGGGGTTTTTCCATCTTTCTGTTATCTGTCTACATCACACCACACGTGCATAAACTTGGTTCTATCTCTGCCAATATGGCTCACACGCGATCAGAAGAGCTTGAGACATGAACAAAGCCATCCGTAAGTTGGTGTCTTAGTGATTCGGGAGCTTGATAAAACATATTCTATCGCATATCGCACGCGGAAAACCCTCAAAAAAATAAGACAAACGACACCGGATGACGATCGGTCGTATTGCAGATCAGTCAATGAAAAAGATGGCACTGCGGCTTTAGCATAGAGCAAATGAGATATCACTGAAATACTGCGAAAAGTAGGCCTCCCTAACAGGTTTCATAGCCTCCTCTGGTGAAGCGAACTGATGCCAATGTGAATAGTCCATAAGTGGTGCCCTCGGGGCCTCATGTTTCCCCTTCAAGCTTTCCCCACAACGATAGCCCACCGGCAATTCAAGGTTCATCACACAGTATAAGGTGTCATCGCACTGACCCAGAGCATTGACACGTTCGGTACAATTAGTTTTCAAAAAGCGTCTGCCTCAGTGGTTGCAGCGTCCTGAAAGCGTGCGACCATTCAATCAATCATGAAACCCGCTAATCTGCTATGAATGGCCGGGCTTAAAAGCAAAGGCATATATTGATTTAGGAACCACAGTCACGGCAAAACCAACATCATCATCATCATCATCATCATCATCATCATTGTCAGCTGTAAGAACCGCGTAGTTGTCGTACGGTGGTTGTAGCTGCCACAGTTTCGTTCACCGATGATTTGGGAAGGTTGGGCAGATAGCTGCGCATTGAAGGCGGCAGCTGATAAATTGGCACGTAAATACAGCTCTCTCAAGTGGAGGATTGGGAAGGGAGCTGTGCATTGAAGGCAATAGTTTGGATGCACAAGCGCCATTGAAGGCTCGACTGGACCATGTCTGACAATCCCTCTTACCATTGACGTGGCCTGTCTCGGAGACCGCATCCAGGAAGATGGCAGTGACAAGTGCAGCTGAATCTAGAATCTAGAATCAACATCTAATCAATTTTCCTGCCGAGGTAATCCACTTAAAATGACTGACGTTGCTATGACAGTGTGTGATCCTCAACTGACAAAACGGGAGTTGTTGTGACCTGCTTGCACATACAATGTTCAGAGTCGGCAAGGGCATAAACGAAGAGGAATTGGTAAAATCATGGTCGTTCTAAACTGGTGGCATCCACATACGGAAAAGTGGCAGAATGTGAAAATCGCTTGGGTACTACATGAACAGTAGGGCAGAAATTTTGTTAACATATCATATTGTATGCATTTACGTACAGTCACGACCACATAACTTGACTAAGATACTTGCACTGAATTGGTACTTGTTGAATCCAAGTTTTCTGAATGAACATCCTTTAGAAACATAAGTTTCTTAACTTCGTCTTCTGAAGAGGTTAGGGGAGTGAAGCACCAATGTCAACACTGATGTTGCTGTCTTTGATGATGATGATGATGTTGACCGAAGAGCTATTGAACCAATAGGCCCGCTAGCTGTCTTGGAGTTCTTCGTGCGTTAAACGTTTTTATGTGGGGCATTCGGTTTTGTCCTAGGGTACTCAAAATTTGACCGACTGTGATCGTTTCTTTTTGACTCTTGCTCTCGTAGCTATCCGACTCACCCTTACTGCTGCAATGAGGATCACTGGGCTGGAATGATCGATTGATTCAAACACAAGCCTGGCTGACAGCAATGATGGATGCGTCCACTGAAACACGGTCATCCGCTCATTCTCTAATGATTTCATAAAGAAATCACCGGCTTTATCGAAATACACTCATTTGCAAACAGATTTGGTTTTGCGAGAGACTCACCTGGAACCCAACTAAATCTCTCGTTTGTGCCAATTTCGTGCCACTTAGTTTCAAGTAGAACATAAGTTTGACGAAACTCGGAGACTTCGCCTACCTGACAAGCCCCAAGAAGGGAAAACCGGCCGGGAGTTGTCGGAAAATTTTCAACAACTTTATAAGTAGTGCGTTACGCATGTATATTTATCGCGATATCTCTAGTATGGTAGCGACTGAAACATGAAGCGGCCTGGTGCACCACATTTAGTTGCCTGGAAACATCACAAACGAGCGATTCAGTTGGGTTACAGGTGAGTCTATCACAAAACCAAATTCGTTTGCAAGTGAGTGTATTTCTCTAATTATGTGCGATTCGGTTTCAAGTAGAACATAAGTTTGACGGCGCCTACCGGATGAGCCCTGAGAAGAGCGAAACCGGTCGTGGCTTTTCGAAGAATTTTCAGCAATTTTATGAGTAGTGCATTACAAATCATTGGCTGGCTGTGGGAAAACCCCTCTAGATGACCTCATTGTGTAGACGCTTAGAAATCTACAGAAATACCTAACGGTTTTGAAAATTTTGTTGATCAAATAACTAATTAGGTATGCGCAGTTTGGACATAAATTCGATCGGTATCGCAGAGCCATCTGACACCGCAACAGCCTAAACTAACAGTTTACGCATGCTGGTGGCCATCACAGTTTCAAAAAGCCTACCTAGAGCCAACTTGATGGTGCCTCCGCGACTATTCGAACTCCTGTCGTCAAACTGGAAGTAAGCACCATTGATCACTTGGTAAATGGAGTCTACAAAGGGTATTCCGCATGGCGTCAGCATACTTGGGATTCGTGAAACGGTGTCTGTTTCCACGAAGCCACTCAACCTTCTTACGGCATTCCCTGCTTCAGCCAAGATATAGTTATGGCGTTGATGGCTTTTCAAATGTCTGTGATATGATCAGGGACCCTGGGATGAAGATAAAGTTCACATACTACTGAGCCGTTAGTCGGACAAAACGAAAGTGTTTTTGGTATTTGGCTGTCGAAAGTAAAAAAAGGAGGACCTCAGACAGTAGCAGTTTCTAAGGGCGACTGCCAGAAGATCGCAAAATTGTCAGGTCATACCGCTTCTCTGAATCTCCCAGACAACTAGGTGGAGTTCCGGGGGGTTTAGTGCTAGAGTTGCTGTTATCAAGTCTGGTGGTTCAACTCCTCGTGCCTACCAACTGACATCAAAATCCCTTGAGATGGTCACCTGGTTCCAGGACAAATCTAACGACTTTGCTTACTAGGTTGTATGGATTTTAATATGTGTATTGATATGACCAGTAAGTGCTTACAGAATCCCTCGTAAGAATCTGATCGGGCTAAGGAATTGGAAGCCTATACTGTTCAGCATTGGTCTCATTTGGTCATCTGCCCAGCGTTCGACCGTATTTTAGCATAAAATCTATACTACTCTTTACACTCCAAGTAGTGTGTCATCGGTGGAAAACCCACAAAACGCGTGGTCCGCCACAGTTTACGTGACAGTTGCGGGCATCAGCTGGTTCCTGTTAGACTATCGCTCTTGCAGTCTTTTGCCAACGACAGCATTAATGACAAATAAACCAATCTAGGGTCCACCTCTTGCGAGGCGTTCAACGTTACCTGCTGTCTCATTTGTCTCTCTCGGTGGCGCCAAACTGTGGAGCAACGTATCCCGGTGTCTGTCTCCAAAGTGAGGCTACAATTTGCTGGGTGGGGACAATCACAATAAAACAGTGACAAGAAATTTTAGCATCATGTTTTGGATTTAAATGGCTATCTCAATAAGTTACCCGAATTTGCAGATTGAACGTGTTCTCTGCAAATTTCCTTGCGAGTTTCCTACGTTAGATCCATTTCCGGTAGGCGGTTGGGCAATCTCATCACGAGGCCGTTCTATTTGTAAATTTAAGCACTGAGCAGATGTTCTCGTGAATACCCAGGTTGAGAAGTTTTACCTTGCAAAGTGCTGCATCTCCCTAGGTCTTGCAGATACCCTACGATTTTTCTGCCTACACGTCCAGTCCCACCACAAAAATTGAACGCCAACGGGTTATTTTGGTTGTCAGTTATCTGACCAATGTGCCTCAAGCATCCTACTGTTTATGAGCAACAAACTAAATAACTCCCCGCTAGATCCACAGGGTCACCTCTATAATCTATGTCAACTTGGCAAGAAAGGTGATGCTCACACAGTACTTCTCGGCTGCTCATTTCACTTTCCGGGCGCCTGGTGATCCAGAAGCTATGGAATAGATGGTGTGAGAGTTGTAACCATCCCAGAGCCACAGTGCACTCCTGGATTAAATCCCGGTGAACAGTCGTCTTTGTGCAGTTTTGTTGCCAAGTTCCAGCGAGCTCAAATTTTGTCACGGCACCCTTTTGTAGTGTCGGCATATGCCACAACGCAAGTTATCCGGACTTATTCGTCAGGCAGGAATCCCTGACATTGCGGACGGTATTCCAAAACCCGTTCATTCTGGGACAAATTAATCGATTTGGATCACCACATGGTACAACCACGATCTTTTCCCTTCAGACTATCATGAATCAGAAAGAAACACGCTAATTCATAGCTCGGCAGTATCGATCCGAGCTAGCTAAACAACAGCCTACAGTAAACCAAAACTGTACTGGTGTAACGGTGATACTACTGATGGAGGAGGCAGGCGAGTAGTAGGTTTTCTTCTGGAAATTCGCTTGAAAGGGGAGATTTGTTGCGGAAGTTGTGGAGTTGCTTTGTAGCATTTGCTTGGACTTGAGCAACAGTCAATGAATATCCAGGAAAGTTCAGGAAGACATGTTCAGTAGAAGATGGGTGTTCAGTTTTTGTAATTAAGATGCATAATAGAGGTATGCTTTCCAATCCAATAGTCTGTAACTGGTCAGTTGGCATTTCCTACTAACTTTGCAGCGAAGGCCTTCTTCCTTTCAGTGGTAGCGGTCACGTGGATGACACGAGACAAAGTTTGAAAAGAGCTGTACTGCTGGCTTTTCCGATGCGATCGAATGACTACTGGACGTAGTCGAGATCGGTGGAAATAACTGATGCGAGAAACTTCATCATAGTAGACAGCACAGATCCCTCGAACGCCAAGTAGAGAAGAGCCTAAGGGAGAACCGAGGACTTTGGTGAATATCGAAAGCCCAGGTTTTAAAACCGGAAACAGCCGTGCTCCATTTCAACTTATACGATCTGCTGGCGGTAGGAGATCGGCGGTCAGTGAAACGATAATTAAGAAACGCGGCTCACTAATCCACTCTCAAAAATGTCCACTTAAACGGTGGGCCTACCAGTTTGACGAAGAACAGTTTAGCTGGCCTCGTGCAACACAGCTGGAGAAGTTGTGTACGAGTGAGTGATCCCTGTATTCAAAAAGGTTATGTAGACATCATTGTTACACCAAACTGCCTGTCGCTTACTAAAGGCTGTCTGCGTCCATAATGGTGCTTTCTGCGATGGAGATCATCAGTGAGGCCTTTAGTTTCATGTGAAATCTCAACTCGACAATGAATGGTTCATGCACTGTGTGACTTATTTTATAATGTATACTATATGTTTATGTATCAATAGACCTAATTTGCTTCTGTTGGCTTTAAATAAACTCTGGTCGGGTATCTTATGGCTGAGAGCAGGTAGGCAGCATTCTTTCCGTAGACTGTCTGACCTTTCCTTGACTTGTTTGCCTGGTCGACTTTACACGTGTCTTTCAATCGCCATCATCTCAGTTGGACAATAGGCGACAGTCTTTCATCTTCTTTGCCTTTCTACAAACTCATTTGCTACGAGGGCTGAGATACTGTTAGGCCGCCCAGCCTCAAACGGCAGTGGCCAGGATGCCTGGGTACTGTTCAACTATCTGACCTAGTTAGTAAAAGTTCGCGCTCAAGCAACATCAAGAAATTTATCTTCAATTCCCTGGTGGATCAATACCAATTTTTCTTCAACCATCGCAGCTCTATTCAGTCATTTTAATCCGGCAAACCCCATTGAAATTTTTTTCCTCGTATTGTCTTGGATCTCACTGAGTTTCCAAAAACACAGGGCTTTGAACCTACTTTAACTAGTCATCATTTGAATGTAACTTGCCAAATGTTATTGAAGTGAAACTATCGGTTTACTATGGAGCCTCATTGGACAGAATTTGTCTGAAATGACCTTCAGTAGAGAAACTAAGTTTTGTGCTCACTTGGCAGCAAAATGGTCTATAGTGTCGTTTCAGAAGGGCTTGATAAACAACCGGTAGTTTAGTCTATATTATAGTTATAGTATAGTATATAGTATAGTTCAGTAAAGTATAGTATAGTCTATAGAATGTTCGACAATCGCTTTTACATAAAGAATATGAGCTGAGAAACAATGGTTAAGTTGCACTGCGACCGTAACAATTTCCGAAAAAACCGCAACCCTTATTTTGTTACTGGTAACCACGAGATCCCTTCGACCAAATTAGAGAATCTGCATCTTACATGTATGTATATCTTTGTGATGTGCTACTCATAAGGTTGCTGAAAATCCGTCGACATCCCACGACCGGGTTCTCCTTTCTTGGGGCTAATCAGGTAGGCGCAGTCCCCTGGTTTCTGTCAACCTTATGTTCTACTTGAAACCAAATTGCACGAAATTAGCTTGGTGCAGCGCATTCAGTTGCCTGGAAACATCACAAAAGAGAGATTCAGCTGGGTTCTAGGTGAGTCTCTCGAAAAATCAAATTAGTTTGCAAATGAGTGCATATTCGCTAATCAGCATTTTATTTTTTGTACACCGACACCCCATATTCACATGATTACATAACTGCGTTTGATTGTAACACCCAAGATGGTTTAGCCACCGTCTGAATGTGGGGGCGCGAAGCCATCCCGCCGTAGTAATTCCCAATAAGCACAAATATATCCGGGTTCTTGTTTTAGAAAGTTGATTACACCAGAAATTAAACACTGTGGAAGTAAACCGTTCCAATTATCCATGATTTTTCTTCTTGTGAATGTCATTCAGTGGTTTCTGATATCCAGGAACAGAACTACCAGAAATCTTGCTCACATCCATGAGAATATTTCTTTCATCACACGAAGTTGCAACAGACCAACCATATTTGTGACTTTGGAACCTAGAAATCGATGTGTATTCGTTTGGAAAGCTTTTGGATGACATTTCGACCAATGCTTTGCCACTTCTCTTTCGTCATCGATCGCAGCCTGGGGAGATTCATTCATGAGCACATGTCACACAGAATAGAACTTGATCGATTTTTGAGTGATGCGCTGATCAGAAAATTTAAGTTGACTGATTTTAATTGCACTGTGAACAGTGAATGAATGGTAGTGCACAGGACATGCCGTGGTCTGGAACCGGCAATCTTGCTGGTTTTGGGAGAGTGTCATATATCTTACTGGCATCAACCATGAACCGGTCACCTTGAAGTCTGACTCATGAAAGACGATAGTTTGCCAATGCGCACTGTTTAGTGCTAAGCAGTTTTATTGCTCGTTAACAATTTGGCCGTCTGGAAAGGTGTATGGTCCAACTAGAGCCATTCACTAGTTGAACTACCGCCCAAAGGTTTTCTAGTCCAGGAAACACTTGAGTTTGTTCAGCAGCCGGAAAAAGTAGAGCTTGTCAAACCATGCAAGGATGTATCGTATTCGGCCTCCACGATTTTGTAAGATGAACAAATGTTATGTGGAAGGAAACGTCTGATGTTTTGATCGTGTTTTACATCACACAGCAAAATCAATTTTACTGTTTTTGCTTCATCATTCGGTTGGATGACCGTTGTATCGACACTTTGGCACATATCGATTCAATCCGAGGAGCAGTTGCGTTGTTCTCCACCAGCTAGCATCTGGAGACAGCGTCAACTTGTATGTTCTAAGATGGATTTCCTCCAGGGTGAGATTCACGGTTGTTAGTTGGCAGTCGGTGACTGTGATTTCACGAAAAGTTTTTCCCTTGACCTTTGTTTTCGGACAAAATAGAAGAAAAAGAATCCAGTTGGGCATGTAGCGAAGAGAGAGAAAGCGATGTCAACATGTTCCCAGAATGGCTGGGTGTTGTATCGTGGAGGTGGCCGAGCTATTGGGTTACGCCTGCACTGAGCCTGCCAGAGTACGCGATAGGGAGAAGACAGAGAACTGGGGACACGGCTGTATTGCCAGGACAAAACATACAGAGCGTCTGCGGAAATATATAGGATGACCAAATGGCCAAATATGGTCGTTCACTTGTTCGCTCCGTACAGCCAATGGCGGTGTTTTGGTCGTGAACAATCTCTGGCCCACTACGCTGGTCGTATTTTGCTAAGCCGAGTTTGGTGAGCTCCGCCAACGCACCTGCTTTCTGGACGTGTCGTACCGATGGCGACCTTGGGGATGCGTCACTCTCTGCACATGTACTTGTTCCATGTCTGGGTGCGTCTTGACACTGGGAATATTTGGTGCCATGACATATCGTCAGATCTCTCCAATCTACTCAATTTGGACTGCACTACTCAATAAACTAACATTTGCTTTCCGTCCGCGAATAACCCTCCTCGTTGATGCAGATGACCTACTCGTGCATGGATTGTTCTCAGTTAAGGCTGTATTGTTCCCCAAGTTGAACGGAGGCCACAAACGATCCCAAAGGATGCGTTTTTGGAAACCGAGCGACATTGCGACATGTGATGTTGTACTGCAATCAGCTTTGTTCTCATCGCCACCCAGCCTGGCTGCGACGCAGTACACTGAAATTGCTGACTACCTGATCCAAGCGCCAATCTGACCTCAAAATGTGTGCTTACGCCACGACAACTCTCTATTACCAAATGCACTTTTATAGCCTTGACGTGACACATCATTTATAAGTTGCTGGTTGGAACATCTGATGATCTTTACCAGCCTTTAAACCTAAATTCTCCCGCTTGCATACTGTGCAGTTGGACATTTTCAAGGCAACCGGGCTCATTCCATTTTTTTTTCAAACAAAGCGCTCAAAAATATGCAAGCACGCAAAAATGTTTTGAGCGCGAATTTCGAGTACACTAAGGTATAATTCACACCCATGTTCGTGGAAGTCTAATACTGTACAGGCAATAGCTTCGGAGATATTTTTGAACGCAACTCATCCTTCTCCAACAACTGTCGCTGCTGAATACGCGAGTGACGGCATTGTTCCGTAAATTCCAGCTCAAAGTTGTACGACCGCGTTTGCACCTAAAGACGCCCTTTTTAAACTTTATGTTGGCAAAGAACCTGCACGTTGGAATTCTGAGTACGCTATACGTAACTACCAACGCGTAGCTTCGAACTTGTTTGTGTTTGACCTTAGTTTGTCTGTTGTCCGGGACATGTTGGTTGCCGGGACAGGAACTATGTTTGGACTGGAATAACGAGAGTTTTGGGCCTGGCGATGTAGACGACAAAACTGCATGTACGGAACAGGCGGGCGATAGAAAGTTCGCCGGCAAATGCACTCACTACTTCACAAAGATCCCCAGGTTCATCGGTACTAACCACCATGGCTGTGTGAACAAGAGAAACACTTTAAGAAATAAAATGAAACTGTTTGTTGGTAGTCTGAGGAGATTTGGGTTTTTTGTGGATTTCGTTCCCAGTAGAGGAAATCTATGCTGAGAAGCCGAGAAGCTGTTTCATCCTTATTTGGTATCATCCGCAGTGCGCACCTCATGAAACTCCGGAGAGTCTCGATCCTGCGACCTCCTGAGTGGTAATTTGAAAACTAAACCGTTCGGCCACGAGTGCCTGATCAGCAGTGTGATTAACTCGTACATAGGATATAACGCAGCTCATGCTTCAATCCCGGGATCCTCGAGCAATGCCCTGTTATCAGACAGTTGCTTCACTGATCAGGTGAAGTTTATTCTCCCACTGAACTACTTATAGGTCATCGGTAGTGTGAGGAGATTTGGGATTTTTCTGGAGATTTCGTTCTCTGAATGAAGGCAATCTATGCTGAAAAGCCGAGAAGCACTGTACCGCTGTTTCAACCTCACTGGAAATCACCAGAGGTGCGCATCTCACTCAACTCCGGAGGGTATAGAACTCGCGACCTTCCGGCCAATAGCTTGAACACTTAACCGTTTGGCCACGAGTGGACTACTGATGATCCCGAATAAGTAGTAAACAGCTGCACAGCGCTTCAAGGCTTTTCAGCGTGGATTCGCCTCAATTACAGGACGAAAATTACACAAAAGAAATAAACAAAGTATTTATGACTAGGGATAACATCGCAAGATTTTGTGAAGTGTATTCAGCTGAATTTCACAAGGAGGGTTTTTTAATTCGCAGGTCAGTTGGAGCTAATGTGGCCAGATCCCTATGGAATAACCACAAACGATCCGTGAGGACAAGTTTCCCACAGTCATTTTACTTGTATCTCTGTAGTTTTGTACTCTCCACATCACTGTCAATCAGAGTTATCATATTCTGATCGTGAGCACAGACGTTTGTATTGCGTTCCATTGGTTAGATATTGTTGATAAGGGCTGATTTAAACCACCTTTGAAGGGTTTAAATGTAACCATCCAACCAAGAAACCAAGGTCAAAGTGATATAAACACAATAGAACACAATTTTAAACGACGCGGTTAAAAAATTGAAATAAAACAGTAAATGGTAGGTGTCAAAAAGGCCAGTCAGTTAGGGTAATGACAGACTAAAAATCTGTACACCTTACAAACGGGTCAATCAGGACTGCACCACAGGGATTTTCAACCGACCAATCGGATCCTACGTATGCGGACCACAACGCAACACGAATCTCAAAGGACCACTTAAAATCAAGATTACTCTGAGCCATTAAAATCACATCACGTGATATCGACCACAGCTGGACAATATATACAAACCAAAGCAGGTAAGGAGGAATTTCCCACACAACCGTGAACCGATGATGCATTGTCCACAAATAAAATGATCACGTGAACAGTCACTTAATCCACGACGAATAGTACTCCATCATTCTTCTTGTTGGATGCTTATTGGTAGACTCTGTGAATAAGATAGCTAGTTGTCTTTGATTTCACCGGACGTCGACGGATCCGAAAGTTCATCCAAGCTTATGTTTCCAAATTCCTCCCACACCTCGTAATTCACACTTTGACGAAAGTGCACCAAGCTACTTGATACCTAACCACAAGATAAACAGACTTCTTGCTGTAAGGTCAGATGAGCGTATGGAAGCAAAAGTGAACCGATACTGGAGCCTTGAAAATGAAGGTGAACCGCCCAAAATTGAACTGGATGTGATCGACATCACCTCACAACTTTATCCAATGGAGTCTTGTACACGATCCACATATATGGCTCCATGTGCATATTTCAAGAACGAACACTAGTCGTCTTATCGTACCGTGTCACGACTTCCGCAACGATTTCCCAAACCTGGAAACATCAAACGAGAGATTCAGCTGGTTTCCTGGTGAGTCTCTCGAAAAACCAAATTAGTTTGCAAATGAGTGTGCTTCGCTAGTATCGTGCTATTTGGTTTCAAGTAGAACATAAGGTTGACGGAAACTCGGGTACTGTGCCTACCTGATGAGCCCCGGGAAGGGCAAAACAGACCATAGAGTCTCGAGGAGTTTTCAGCAACCTTATGAGTAGTGCATTACAATGTATGTAAAATGAATATACATATGTATCGCGATATCTCGAATATCGTAGTGACTGAAACATGAGGCGGCCTGTTGCAGCACATTCAGTTGCCTGGAGACATCAAAACCGAAAGATTCAGCTGTGTTCCAAGTGAGTCTCTCGAAAAACCAAATTAGTTTGCAAATGAGTGTACTTTGCCAAACGTGAACCAGTTATCTATGCACACTGACACGTGGCGGACAGCGACGTACAACACAAGGCGATATGCGGATCTGAAAGCCACTCATTTCGTTTTTGTGTCCGCATGCCTGACTACTGATGACCAGTTGAGTGCGGCAATGAGGGGCACGAAAAACTGACGTACACCGAAGGGTTGCATTTGGTCCAATGAGATGACAGCTCTCGCAACAACACAAATTAAAAGTGCAATTGATGAATGTGATCAGTGTTACACCTGATGGTTCGTGGAACCTTGCGAAACTTCGTGGACTACCATTAATATCATAAAATAAGAGTGTTGTAGGCGGTCGCACACATGGGAAGTTTTCCAAATTACGTTAGAGACCGGAACATTCTGCTCACCGAAATCCGAGACGCGAAATCGAGCCTTTAACGTCTGGTACTCACAATCTGGTCAAAATTACGAATTAGCAAGAAACGTTGCAAAATCGCTCACGTAAACGCATGTTAGAAACGACCTACTGTTTCGGGCTTGTCCAGATATGTCCTGTGCAAAGTCTGGTATAAAAGTGAGAAAAAAACAAATCAAATATCAGTCAGATTGCTTTTACACATTCCCCTGAGGCTACCAAAATCAGATGTGTCACAGTCAGAGTTGAAATATTATTCGATTTTTTACCTGGAATATATAATTCAGGGAATTTGGATACAGAGGCCCTAAAGTTACTCCCAATAAGCTGACCAACCAATCTGTTTTTCGATTCCCAAACATCGTTCACTAACATTGATCAATTTGTCTAACTTTCATCTAGAAAGTCCTAGTGCGTGCGGTACAAACGAACGATGCGTCATTAGGTAGAATCAAACTACCGGCGAGCAGCGTAATGAGTAGATGCGTTTCCAACCAGTTCGTTTACCCTTACTTTTGATAACTATCCGCACACAAACATGCTGAGTTCAGCAAAGGTTTTTGGGTTAGATGGCTCAGTGGTTAGAGCGTGAATTTACTGACCGGAACGCCCGTGGTTTGGACCCAACCTCTGCCTCTCGACTTCCCCTGTCTAGGTTTGGGTAATCTAGCGGTATCCCAGCCCTCGTGCTTCCTTCGGGTGGCATGGCAGTTAGGCACCGAAAGGGTGCCACAGCTGACTGATCTCCATCTCCTTCCATCTCTTTGTAATCTCAGTTGAAAAATATCAATACTTTTCACACTACAATCATTTCACTATATTCAGCGCACGCCTAATGCCAGAAAACATTGTGGCCCGACAACAGTTGTCACACTCAGATTATCGTCTTAGTTTTCACCTATCGTGAACGTTACTCATATAGTCCACAGCCATTAGAGCAAGCAAGATTTTGTTTACTGGGCGATATCATGAACCACATTTCATGCCGCTTATTTCTAGACCAGTGATTAATGACATTGGTGTACAACCAGCAACCAGAAACAGTGTGATAACAGTAACTTACCCACTGAAATATCACAAGGGTCTTTGCTACTATGTAATAACCGTGCGACGCCTAACAGAAAGTCTTCGCCTTCCAGACCCTTGACCTCCGGGGGGAGATTATCCTCGTTGACTTGAACGGTGAACTGAAATGCTTGGTCATGATTATCACGCAGCTTGCAGTGCGAAAAGATATCGTCCGACCAACCTAGCGTTCTTTGTTTAAGCTCCAAAGATAGATAGGGGAAGATGACAACTAATGGATAAGTAATTAAACCAAAACTGTTCTACACAAACATTTGAACAGCGTGCTGTAGCTAGTACATCGTGGGAAGCTGTAACTTACCAAGCCACACAAGGCCTCTTCGGTTTTCTCTTGAGGTTCATACGGAATAATCTGAACAATGTTTATGGCTGCAATGTGCAAAAGAGGTGTTTCACGTCATATGCCCAGTGACACATCTACTTTCTTCATTTGAAACCTACTCACATGTGGTCTTCCCCGACCCGGTTCCAAAGAGACAGGTGAGCAGACAGATATATGTTCCCCACATTTCGCCATTCCCACATTCTCACACTTGTCTATTTATCCAACGGAAGACGACACTGATTGGCTCACTTCCTAAGGCTGTAAATCGAGTGTCATCATTGGCAGCCATAAGCAAAGCGTCCATACAAGCCATCTACAATATCAACCAAGATTCGAGGTTTGAAACAACAGTGTTGCCATCGAGACGAACGTGGACAGATTTCTCTGCTCACGTGTATGGTGAGGGAGGGGGGAGAGGTCACGCTTCGGATCCCACTGACTACTAATCAGGGCTGATGTAAAATCTAATCGTCAAAGATTCACTTACTGAGAGGGAACTGGGTAGGACAAACGAACCTACCAGGAATTTAATTTTCGTTAACGTCTACCCTATACAAGGTCGGAAGTTTTTGCCATAATCTGTTTAAGATGGATAAATCGCGTGCGACGCGGGATGTGTTGTGGACCAGTCTCTTCAATGCCTTCTTATTACCGTGAACCGCGGTTTGGATAGACGCTTGATAGCCTGGTGAACTTGGCCAAACCAGAAAAAGTCGATGAACGTGCGAGCTGGCTGATTTATTGATCACCGTCGCTTAAAAGCGGTTCAAAAGTGATACTAAGAATACAACTCATCTGTCAAGGACGAGTAAAGAACAACCAATGAAATCTGTCCCAACGAAAACGGTTATTCCATCGGCTGGCTGGCCGGGGCCTTCCTCTTTACATCCGTAGTCCCCAAGATTTCGACGAACTTGTGCTCTAATTCATCCAGAATCGTGAGCAGTTGGCGAGGCATACTCATTCAGGATTCATCTTGATATCTACCAAGGTCTCCACTGAATTCCACCTAGATCTCTGGTTTATGGTACCCTTCAACTATACCAGGTCCCCTAATGCTTTGTTTGATACGATATTCGAGATTCTGCAGTAGATTTTCTTGACGGAACACGCTACTCCCATTGTTCCTGAAAATTCTTTGACAGCCCTCCACAGGTTTCGCCCGCCCTTCTTAGTTCCTTTCAGGTAGGAACAGTTCCCGAGACTACTTCTACCCTATGTTCCACTTGAATCCAAATTGACCAAGAGACTCTCTCCAGTGTGATATTCTTCAACAATGTGGTACACAAAAGTCNGGCGACAGTTTGCACTTAGAAACATCGTAAACGAGAGCTTCATATAGGCTTTAGGTGAGCCTCTTGCAAAACTGAACTTGTTTACAAAAACATTTTCTTTTTTCTTTAGAAAGTAAGCTAACAATGCACTGTCACGCAGGTCCATGACAAAAGTCAACATGCTTGACAAACGATGCAGACTCACAAACGCCTTGCTCGCGAGTTAGGATGCCGAAGGCTTCATTTTACAGATCAATGTAGAAACATCAGGCTGTAGAATCCCCAACGCGGTACGCCTAGATGATTGACCTTCGAGGACCGGAAAACTTGGACTTTGCATTGTTGGGTGTCCCAGGAAAATCTCCAAAATTGGGGGACAATTCTGACCATACTCTAGTGGTCGGGACGTATTCCGAACCAAATTGTGATGCAATCCGGAGTCAATCGCTTTCCAGTCGTTCTAAAATCTTACACATCAGTATCCGACATCTCTTCTTGACATCAAGTGGGTAGCCTGCACCATGAAGCACTCTGAAGTGGGAGATTAAAGAACCCTTCCCAAATCCATCAATGCAAGATTTTTGCAATCACACTAACCGACAACAGCCGTCAGTTGACACTCAGCACTGAAATAGAGCGTTTTAGGGCTTGGTTCTCTGTGTGCCTGGCCAACGTGATGACCTACTCACTTGGTCTGATAAAGCGTTTGCGTCAAAAGCGAAACGATACTCAATTAAAACTACCGATTGCTTTCCAAACTATTCTGAAACGATGACTTCTCAGTCGGTTCCAAACTTTTTCTAATCGACTGAAAACTACACCAGGTTCTCCAACACAACATTCCAGGTAGCATAGCAATTGAGAAAAATCCTAATCATCCATGCTTTGCACTGAAAAAGTTATTTTACCCCTCCGTCGCTCGATTTGATTACCATAATCTACCTCAAAACAGCGTCATTGAACAATGGTTCCTTCCTCTTGAACTCTGATGAATTGAAATCAAGCCTCAGATATCCGGTTCTTAGCAAGGGGATCATCATATTAGGGAGTTTTAACCTCAAAGGATATTACAACATCCTGTGAATCTGCCGTCTGACCGACGACTGCTCGTTAACCATTCTGCATAATCGTTACCTCACACACGTTGTTTAGAAAGGCGTCCTTTCAGAAACACCCCATTGTTCCATGAATTATTAAGGGTCGCGTGAATTCGCGTGGAGAACACACATGAATGTTCCTCACATCTGAAACGTCCGGAACTCCTCAGAGAATCCCAGACATGATCAATATCAACTTGGTTCAGAACGTGGGGAGATCAGCGGTTTCATCAGAGAGGTGAGTACATGTCTGATGTAGCTCAGCTTATGTTATCAATTTCAAACTAGTTGCAGGCTTTGCTGTACACCGTTCTACCTTGAGAGTTCTGCACGCACCTGATCAAAATCAGACAGCTAAATAAAGCGTTTTCGTGAGTTGGGTTTGCTGGGAATTAGGTTGTCCTCAGTAGGGGAGAGGTGGAAAAACGAGATGAACTGATTGCCTGATATCAGAAAACCTGAACATATAAGGGCCCATTTCCGCACTCTGACCCATGTGACCCCACTGTTAACGATTTTCAATTTGTATTCGTTAAAGTCACGTGCTCACCGAACGCTTTTCAAACGGCTGATAAACCTACACACGCACTGCGTTTGCTACACCAACCAAAGCCGACGATCGACCCTAAGTATTGATCGAGTATCTCAGGGATTACCGAGCACATGCCTCGAAAATGGTGGTGCTAAAATGAGAAAAGAAGTTGTCTCAATGTAAGGCAACCAGGCGACCACACCATCGACACCTCTGTATTCGGCCGTTGGGTGTTGAATTGTCAGAGTTGATAGAATGACCAAGTCTGAGCGTTGATGCAACTGTCTAAGGTGACTGAGTACAACGTAGTCCACTTTAAGAACTCCATGTTCTGTCGAGTTGAACATGTACCGAACTGAAGAATTAAGTAGTCTCATAGTGGTAACCATACCCCGATTTCACGAGGACAGGCGAGTCGCTCCTCATGGCTACTTGAGAAAAGCGTTCATCATTCTTTTGTGTACGACCGACGCGGCTGGTTTGAACAGCAACGCGTAACGTATATCCAAAGGTGTGTGTTGGTAAGACTCTCTTGTCCGCGTAAGCCCCATGAACAACTTCACACGAGCAAAGTCAAATCCTTCAGCTTTGGAGATCTGAAGCCACGAGAAGAATCGCATAGGAAGGTCGTTCAAGCTAAAAGCAAGGAGACCAGACTGAGTTGGACGGACCTCAGAAGGTTTCGCTTTGATTTTGAGGAGTACCCCAAAACATCGGTGTGATATCCATATATTAGGATGTGATAATTCATCACGGGAGAGTTATTTCTACGGAGCGGTCACGTGAATTTCGACCAACACGTGCACGGAAACGATGAATATTAATGGCGTACGTGACACCACTCAAGGTGGAGCAACGTGTGTGACTGTGGTTTTATTCACGAATGGTGAATGCCATACCGATTGCAACCAAATTATGAATGCATTATGCTAACACGAGAGCCACAATTACGCATCCATTCTGAAACCTATCTCATCTGTCATTTGGCTTACCAGCTTGCCAGCCAACTTGGCAGTTAATCACGTGCCTCACGTAGTTGCCTAGATGGCTCGTTTGGTTGTGTCCATCACGCCTTGTGAAAGATGCATTTCCCACGGTGGTATCTGTCTCTTTTGACGTGTACACATGTCTCCTCAATCGCGCACCCGTTTCAGTTCATAGACCACCCAATGTGTTCACGAACTTGATCCTGCGTTGGTGAGTTTTGTGGGTGTTATCCCACGTTGTCTGACTTTGGACGACCATGTGCAATCTACGGACAAACGCGAACAAACTACTGATGTGCTGTATTCAGCTACCTCTCTAAGCCTAAAATAAAATGTTGAAATAGTTAAATTCACTTCTTTTGATCTTTATCTAGTGACATTGCGACACACGGCTTAAGATCTCAGAGTGATTCCCCTTGATGAGCTCCAAGAAGAGCGAAACCTGTCATGGTCTGACGAAGAGTCTTCAGCAACCTAATGAGTAGTGCATTAAGCCTTGATTCCTATGTTTGTCGATGTGAAAGCATCTCTTTGGTTTTTGTTAGCACGATTGAACGGACGTCAACCAAATTATGGTACGTTGGTTTTTGAGAACTCCGATTACCTGAATCCCACCAGTCCTCTATCGATTTATTTGAATTTAGAAACGATCGATCAGAAATGAGGCTTCTTCAATACTCACAAGGAAAGGCCTTATTTCGTGACGCATGCAAGTGTTCAGATGTTAGTGTGTTTCTCCCGGTTTGACACTGATGTGAGTACAACTTTTAGACTGCATCAGGATTTCGTATGTGTGTAATGCTTTAGGGGTAGACCCTGAAAAGAAACTAAAATTCACCGGTGATCTCAGGTGAAATTTTGATATGGATTCTGCAAAAGAGGCAAACACTGTGTCGGATCATCCTCAATAGAGTACACTTTTGTTTACTACTTATAAAGTCCAAGAGAACGTTTGCATATATTTGACGTTGGTTAGGCTTAAATGAAAAAAAAACGG